GGCCCACAACATTAAAAATACAGCAGTATATTTCATTCTACACATGGGGTACTTTTTATCCCTGTGTACACCAAACCCATCTTGAGTGTTTGCTGCTAAAAAGCAAATGTTTTTAGTTACATCTGACCATAGAAGCCAGTCCCATTTGAAGTTCCAGTCGTGTCTGACAGCAGAATATGCCGAGGATTGTTTTTGGATGAGAGCATTTTTTCTTGATTTTTTTTCTTGAAACCCTCCCAAACAACATGTGGTGTAGGTGCTGTTTTTTTTTTTTTTAAGGTTTTCTGACCCTGAGACTCAACTATTTTCTGCAATTCTCCAGCTGTGGTCCTTGGAGAGTCTTTAGTCTTTAATTTCATGTTCATAACCACCCTGGTATGCTCAAAATTGTAAATATGAATGGGAATATACTTCACAGATATTTTACTCATAAGAATTTCTAGGGGTGCCAATAATTGTGTCCAACATGTATTTGAGAAAAACATTTATTTCATAATGATATTTCCCCCCATTTTCAATTGTTTTAGTTCAATGAAAGGTTAGATATTTGTGAATTGAATTGTGAACAATGCAGATTTATTTTCACAGCCTTCTTTGATCATATTTACCAAGGGTGCCAATAATTCTGACCACGACTGTATATATATATATATATTACATTTGATTCTTTGATATATAGCTATAAAGGAAATAAAGCTTCATTTCATTTCATTGGTTCTGCAAAAGAGAAGTCTTCAAAGTTTATTTACCTGCATCAGCAAGTTCAACATGTACAAAAAGGACAAAACAGTCATAAACGAAGTGGACATGTCTCCATATGAGAGCACACATAAGGCAAAGCTGAATATTTTAACAAAACATTTATTTTTCACAGTAAGCTCTGGAATGCTGTTATTTCAGCAACCCTCACTAATGCAGACAACATAAAGTAAACGTAAAAACACTAAAAGCGCAATAACAAAAGTTTTGATTAAATTATTGCAATCAAACCTTTCAAGCACCACTCATATATGGATACGAGGCACATCGTTATAGACAAATATTCACATGCAGCACATGTAAGTGTAAGCGCAGCATTTCTACTGCTTCCTGAACCCTTTCAGGATGGGGTAAATATTTTCAAAGGCTTCATAGATCTCTGACCGCTCTTTCGCACCTAAAAATCATAATAACATGAGGAGAATGAGTTTTACAAAACAATTTCAATGCAACACTTCGAATAGTTCCCCAAAAATGAAAATGTGCTTATGATTTGGAGATTTGTTTCTTATAAACATGCAGATTTTTATTTCAAAGACGTTAATTGATGAACTGGAGTGGTGTGGATTACTTGTAGATTATTGTGATGTTTTTTCCAGCTGTTTAGCCTCTCATTCTGACGGCACCCATTCACTGCAGAGGATCCATTGGTGAGCAATTGATCATGTAATACTAAATATTTCCAAATCTGTTCCAATGCAGAAACAAACTCTTGGATGGCCTGAGGGTGAGTACATTTTCAGCTAATTTGCATTTTTGGGTGAACTATTCCTTTAAAATTGGACTATGTGAGATTAGACTAGTGAATACGACTATATATCAACTATACCTGTGAGCACAACTTTTCCAGACACAAAAATCAGCAGCACAATACGTGGCTTCACCATGCGATATATCAATCCAGGAAACAACTCTGGCTCATAGCTGGAGGGGTAAAATGGTTAAAGACAGATGTTACAAGGCCACTTATATTGTGGGCCAGTAACCATCAAACTTAATTATGACAGACAGACAGACGCCTGTCCAGACCTGCTGAACTGCTGGTGAGTGAGGACCAGGCCTTCTAAGCGGATAGGAAAGCAGACGTCACAACTTCCAACCATGTTTTGGATTTTGAAGTCAAGGAATTTGGCGGGGAAACCAAGTTTCTGTACCACCCGGGCATATTTCCGTGCAGCAAGGCGAGATTGCTCCTCACTGCTTGGAAAGATAAACAAAGGGAAAGGCAAATGTAGGGTAAAAGACACATGTGAGACTATCTGTTTTATCTATCTATTTTACAGTTGTGCTACCCTAATGCATTATAGTTCTGAATATATATTATGTATACCTCTTGGCCCCAGTGCAGACCATTTTCCCAGAGCTGAATATGAGAGCAGTAGTTCTTGGTTCACGGATCCTCATTATAACAGCAGCAAAACGCTATACATAGGCAAAGTTTGGAGTTATGCTACTGAAAAGACTGAAAAATGTACCTAAAACACAAAGTTAAAGGAAGAGTTCCCCCAAAAATGGAACCTCTGTCATTTATTTTTACTCATCCTTATGTCAACAGCATACAGAATAAACAATGACAAAATTTACAAGAACTTTTACTTTAAGAAAGCTATACAAATGTGTGTTTCGTCTATGATTTAATACAATTCTATATAGTGTTGCATATATAAACTACAGTAGAAAAGTACCTTTGGGTTGTATTCAGCATTTCGAGCTTGAAGTGCAATGGATTTGAGATTCAGAGGGCAAGCAAGATTCACTGTTGACACAATATTCCTGTGTATGATCAAAAACAGGTTTGGAAATATAGTATACAAAATTAGGATGCAATGGCTGGTGCTTCAAACGTAATCACTCTATACTTAAAGTAGTGCAAAGGATTCTATTCAAATGTAACTAACTTACTGCAGACATTTGGTTTACTTAAATCATGGAGTTAAAGCATTTTACAGCCTTTACACTCTTAAAAATAGATAGAAGAAGAACCATTTTTGGTTCCCCAAAGAAACTTTCAGTGAACAGTTCTTAAAAGAACCATGTCTTCTTAGTGTGAAGCACATTTTAATAATCTAACCTTTATATAATCAAACCGTTTTCCATTATAAAGAACGTTTTGTGGAATTGAAAGGATGCACAGATGTTAAAAAGGTTCTTCGTGGAACCCAATAAAGAACTTTTGTTTTTAAGAGTGTAGCAATGTTTGAAAGCAAAAAGAATTTAAAAAAGTTCTGGGCTTATATGATGCCATAAGATGTTAAAAAGAATCCCGGATACACATTCTTCACATTTTTTTTTTCTCCATAAAATGCCTTACTGTAATTGTGGGATTATGCCTGAACTCTCTGCCACTGGGGTCATGGGGGTCATAGGGGTCATGGGAGTCATCGGGAGATTGAACTGCGAGGCGTTTTGTGCAGAATTACTGGTGTCAGTATCTCCCTCTGTCGACTCTCTCAGAGGACAGTCGGTGTAAATGCCGCTGTCCTCATTCCTGCTGAGATTCTTAGCCTGTGACAGCTCATCTTGAGTGCCCAGTTCATCTGGTAAGAAGCTCAGGTCCAAGTCCTCAGTGAGATCTTTCTCTTGAGAGGTTAAAGAGGACAGGAAAGAGGAATCTTGGAGCTGTGGAGCTGGACCCTGTAGGCCCAGATCCCCCTCAAAGATGTAATCAGATGAACCCTTAGGAGAACCAAAAACAAACAAAAAACATTATAGGCTATAATGCATCAATATAAATTTAAAGCACCATATATTGTTAAAGGGAAACAAACTTCCAAATAAATAAAAGAATACATAAATGACAAGGACATTTATTTAAAAAAATAATAATCTTTTAAATGCGTTGTTAACATTTTAAAGTGTACAGCAATATTTTAGTCGTATTAAAATCAAAATTTAATTTGAAATATTTTATTTTATTAATTTGTCCATTTTTTCCATTTCTGTTGTAAGGTTTCAAATGTATTTATTTATTCCATATTTCCTCTTAAATATGCCGATTTTCTTATTTATAATTACTTAATTTGTTATAAGAACATGCAGACTTGAGTGCCTCTCGATTAGACTGATTATGTTTTCAACTAACAAAGACTTGGCAATTTCAGCCATTTATTTCACAACTTACAGCAATACTCTGGTCAAAGTAATTTTCGAGAGATGCCTCCTCATCCATGTTCCTTAATGTCCATTGGAAGAAAACAGATTTGCAAAAAACGAGAAAAGTATCCTAGTCCAAATAATAGTGCTGGCACTTTACCTGAGGATGCGATCTAATTGGCGTCAAGTGTGAAGCTACTCACAGAGGCGTGACAAATCATGTCATCAAAACTAAGTTTAGTTTTGTTCTGTTTAGTGAACTAAAATTTTAATATATATATATATATATATATATATATATATAGAGCATATAAAATGTGGAATATATATAATATATATATATGTATATATGTAGCAACTCACAAAAATGATCTGTACGGACTGCAAGAATAACCAAATATTTTCTTTTCCTGTTCAACATTTTTCTATTTGGGCTAACAATATAACAAAACGTTACTTTAAAACATAAATAAATACATTTTCCTGAAGTGCAGTCTCCGGCCAGTAGAGGGAGACAGACGCGACGCTGTAAACAGTCCCTTTTGCGCATGAGCGGAAGACGAACATTAAACAACTGTTAAACATGTGAAGAGTGCATGCGAGCTGTCTCTTATTATTTTAAAACATTAATACTTCATTGTATAGTATGAATTGGTAGGCATGCATGGGAAGAAAGTATATTATGAGTATTTTAAGCTGACGGAGGCATGTGAAAAATCACCAGTCAGTATTAGTTTTAGAGAAACGTGGATAGTGTTATGGATGCAGTTAAAGAATGCTTGAGAAATTTTCCTAAAGAAGCTCGAGGTGAGTTCACTTACTGTCTATTATATACTACAATATACATTCATATGACGATAAAAAAAAAACAGGCAAAAGATGTATAGATAATTTACATGCAATAAAATATTTACATTTATAATTTTTTATGTTAAATTATATATTTTGGTGCAGTAGAAAAAAATATCTTCTGCACCATAACAAATATTTTCATATATCTTACCTCAAAATTAAAAGAAGTATATAAAATTGGGCTTAATCGTTACGAAAACAATGTTACTATAAGGTTGTTTTTTGACATAACATTAAAAACATAAGCAAGACCTTTTTGTTGAAAGACTTGTAAAGACTTATATCAGTGATATCGTTGTCTTCTCTTCCTCAGAGCTTTATCTTAATGATACAGTGCCATACCTGGATGGGCCCCTCTCTCCACTTCAGTTTTATCGTGACTGGATTGGTCCCAACAAGCCCTGCATCATTCACAATGCCTTCAGTGATTGGCCAGCTTTGTCTAAATGGAACGCCACATATCTCAGGTGAGCCAATCAGATGATCAGATCAGCCTGAGAGTTCTAACATTTAAACTTTCCTCCCTGAAAATGTTTCTGCAAAACTTTTTTTCATATTTGTGCAGAGAGAAAGTGGGCTCCAAAGTCATCAGTGTGGCTGTCACTCCAAACGGATATGCAGATGCCGTGAACGGGGATCGCTTTGTGATGCCAGAGGAGCGTCAGATGACCTTTAGCTCTCTGCTGGACATCATTGAGGGGAAGGTGAAGTGCAGTGGTGTGTTTTACGTTCAGAAGCAATGCTCAAATCTGACTGAGGAGTTACCGGAGCTGACAGGAGACGTACAGACTCACATCCTCTGGATGAGTGAAGCTCTTGGTAAGTCCACACAGTTTGCATTCATTATCTACCTGGATGTGCCTTTGATTGGATAATGGCTGAATAATGTGAAATGTCAATTTTTATAATTTAGGAAAACAGCCTGATGCTGTAAATTTCTGGCTTGGGGAGGAAAGCGCTGTCACATCAAGTCAGTTTGTCTTCATTTGTTTGTAAACGTAAAATATTGTCAACTTTAGCGGGCCAAAACAAGCATTAACATTAGCTAAAACAACAAAAAATATTTTTAAAACAAATGTTTTATTTTTCATGAAAGAACCAGAATATCCACAGAAATCTTATATAGGAGGTAGCCTAAGTTTAAAAGTATGAATTCTTGATATGGAAAAGTCATGTAAATGAATAAAATCATAAAACGACATGGGAATTTTAATAATGAATATGCATTTTTCTAGTTAGGCCAAGCTCTAAAATATGTTATTTGGTAGAAATTGTGAGTAAAAAATATTTTTTTAAATACTTACCCTTACCATTATTGGCCTTTAAATATTGTTGTGGACAATAGGGGGCAATGTAGTCAAAACGGTTGAAAACCACTGCTTTAAACACTTAATTTATGTAAGCATTTTTGTGAGCAAGCACCATTTTTTCCTCTGTAGTGCATAAAGATCATTATGAGAACCTGTACTGTGTGATCACTGGACAGAAAGAGTTTATTTTGCTTCCGCCGACTGATAGACCTTTCATACCGTATGGTAAGAAGTGGTCTCTTTATCCAGCTATTTTATTTTTCTTGCTTAGTTTGAAAACGGAATGCTTTTTAACAAGAAAATGGCCTCAGGACCATCTATTGGCATTGTGTATTATTTCCTCAACATAGAGCTCTACCAGCCAGCGACGTACAGACAGAAAGAAGATGGCAACTTTGAAATAGTGGACGAGGAAGATTCAACCAAAGTGAGTTCATATAATTTACAAATGCTTATTGGAATGCAGTTGTATATTTTACATTAATGTTATGATTATACATTTTAAAACATTTATAAAAAAAGAATCCTGCAATCTTTCAGGTGCCCTGGATCCCTCTAGACCCCCTGAACCCAGATTATGATAGATATCCCTCCTACAGGCTGGCTAAACCTCTGCTCTGCACTGTGAAAGCTGGAGAGATGTTGTACCTGCCCTCCCTGTGGTTCCACCACGTTAGACAGTCTCATGGCTGCATAGCGGGTTGGTGATTTGGCCGCCAGTAATATTGCAAACAATACCAACTTGGCTTGCAAATTCTGTTCTGTACTTTACTTACGTTCTACAGTGAAACTAATGAATGAAACTGCTCTTTTTGTCTTGACAGTGAATTTCTGGTATGACATGGAATATGATATGAAGTACAATTATTTCCAGCTTGTGGAGTCCTTGACAAACGCTGTTGGATCACTGTGAGACTGTTCAAAGGTGAAGATTTGGTTGATATAATCGATTATCAACAGCTGCTGGCTTTACATGTGGAGACTTCATGAGATATGCATGTACATTTTTCGTGATATAGTAGAATATATATTGCAATAAATAATGCAGTTTAACATGTAATAAATACAGTTTTATTTGTTTGACTTCTCTGAGAAAGAGATTTCAGGTGACAGATTGTATAAACACTGAGAATAGAAACACTTGACTTCGGTTTGGAGCAAAAGGTAAGACAAAGTCACAAGTTTCCAAAAAGAAACGGTCTTGGAGAGCACTGGTCCATCTGTAATGCTAGACTACATCTTGATCAACTGTCAATAGGTTAGAGGAAAGCAGAGCTGGTCACCACAGAGATAGTGCTGAAAGCAGAAGGTTTGCATGATTGTTCATGAGGAGCAGGTCAAGCGTACAACCATGCATTCTAGTTCAGGGAGCGAGCCAACCATAAATTCTGCCTTTCTTCATGCATATGTAGTGTATTCATGCGGATTCTGACAGTACTTTTGTTACTGATGCAGTCCTACTGTACGGTTTTCACTTCTGCTACATCACTAGCCCACTAGCTAGCTAAATCAAATCTGTTTGGGCTTACTTTATATATCATTTTTCATCTCATGCATTTTCAGTCTTGCTTAAAGCCATAGCATTTGTCACGAGATGGCAAATAAGAGTTGCATACAATAATGGGTGTAAATAAATCTATTTAACTACAAGACTGCCAGTGCAATCTGCCATTGGTGAAAAGGGGTATGTAACAGTTGGGTAAAAATTTGCATTGTTGTTGCAATTGCACATTTTGCATCTTTCATTGTTAATAAATTTGTACCAAAAGCACAAGAGAATGTGACTAAGCATCAAGTCAATAAATACAATTTATGCATCTCAGACAACAGGCAAGTTGCAGCTGAACTAGTTGCCGAGTAGTTGGGTGTACACTGCAACTTTTTTTTTTTTTTAATGTCAGATCGTACAATATGACACCTGTGAGAAAAAGCCATGTCGACTGTATTTTATGTCAGGCTCTATGATATAAATCTTTGGTCACCACTGACGGCGTTAACTTAAGCGATCAAAGACTGTGAATATTTTCCCGTCAATTTGTCCCGTTGACAAAACAATCTTCTAAGATCCCAAAATCGTACAGTGTGCACCTGGCTTTAGCTTGGTTTTGTATCAGTAGAAGAGCTGGACACGTTAAAATATGTGCAGGTCCATCTATATAAGAAGTTACAGTACACTTAACATATTACGCCATCATTTTGCTTAATTAAGCTTAATGACACAACAAGTGCCTTACTGTACATTATCAATATTATCACGGAAAAAGAAGAGTTGTTTCAAGCAGAGGTCAGAGAGGCAACACCTTAACCAAGATAGCAATGGATTGTGGGAAAGACTGGAATACAGAGTGACTGTTTTGTTTAGCTCTTGGGGAAAATAACAGAGCACATCACATAACAATAAAACACCTTTAAGAAGTCATAATTGGAAAACAAGTTTTTCTGTAAAAATGCTTTTCAGGATAAGGGTATTTTCAAAATCAAAGTTCTGTCAAATCTGTAAACCATTCTCATAATTTGTGCACAAAACTTTATCTACTTGGCTATTGCAACTCTATCAGTGTCACCAGAACAATCAATTCAATTCAGTGTTTTTATGGCAGTTTTGTTTTTGTCACAATCTGCAGCCTAGAATTAATCAATTGGAGGTGGACAACATCCAAATATCACTGATCATTTCGATATATAACCCTGCTTGAATTACAAATGCCAGATTCATTCCTTCAAACAAATTGCTGGTCGAGATTAAGGCACCTGTATCCATGAGACAGTTACCATTCAAGTACAAAAAAGTCCTGCAAATAAAACAATACAAAATCATCCTTCAAATTCCCCCATTTTTTCTCTGGCACCCAACTGACTGCTGGGCATCAGGACATTGACACTATACAACAAACAAACATTGAAGAGCCTCTGTGCGACTCCTTGACCTATCACATGAGAATAAATATGAACCCCGACATCCCAATTCAACTTGAGAGTATCAGCACAAACACAACACAGTATAAAAATCATTCCATAATAAAAGGCAAAAGTGAGCCAAATCTGCCTGGCTAAGACTTCCAGGGATACCGATCCCTTCGTAAGAGCGCATTGAGAATTTCTAAAAATATCAAACACAATGTTCAAATAAATGGTGGTTGCTGGAGATTCCTCTCAACAACAGTTTGTTTTTGCACATGACAGAATATTGTATCTATATAAAATTGCTTATTCGTCTTTCAAGACGATAACCACTGAATCAATTTTGCTGTACCATGCAGTTAACAAAACCATATAATCAGTTACTCTCCCTGATGCCGTGTAGGTCATTCAAAAGTTACGATGGCCAAACTATCTGGATGCGTTTTTAGTGGCAGGGCACAACATTTTGCAAAGGGGTGAGAAAAGTCTGGGGTGTGTTGCTGCCATAGTAGCATGCTAAACAGGGAGGTAGGATAGTGGAATTTCTTTTCAATCTCTTTATTAAAAGCTCCTCGCTATTTAAAAGAGTCTGCTGTGCAGTCTCATGGCTTGGTATCCTGTTAGAAATCATAGAAATCAGATTTTGTTGTCCATCCTCTTCTCCACTGCACTGAGCAGCAGTCTGGAGTACTGCTCTAAAAGGGCAAGTGTCCTGTCGTCACCTAATGTTGCATCACTGTTAGCTATTGTGCGCACAGTGCAAGTGCTGGGAGATCTTGAAGGAGTGCATGGTGGCAGGCAATTGAGCTCGTCTCTCATCGCCTCAAATGCTTCGGCCAGCACATGTGCCATTTCCTGCTGCTCCTCACTGGAGTCGGTGGAGTTGCTTAGCTACAGGAGCGCACACACATATGCAAAGTTAGATTCAAGTCACCCGCACAAAACAGTTTAGGCAGACGCGTGGGCTGAAGTGCAGCCTACTCTACAATTACATGTGAATGTGGCCAAATGATAACCTACCATTTTGTAGAGGTGGGAGGCTCTTTTAAAACTGCTCTGCAATTCATTGGCAGCCAGCCTACAAGAATCCACATTGAGAGATGTGTCTGCAGAGGAGAAACCGAGCTCTGTTAGAGTCATACTGTGTCTTAAAATGAGCCGAGCAACAAAAACATACAATTTTGACTGAGCATACAAAGAAAAGTAAATCTGAGAACTATGAGCATGGAAAATGATTTTGTGCAGTGGTACTCAGCACAAGTGATTTACAGAAATATGACATGGATTAACGTCATTCGTTGTTCCCGAAACAACATTCCAAAGAACAACCCCAAGATTAAAACAAGAGGGAAATGGTTAATCATATGAATATTGTTGCAGGACCTTGTCCTAAAGACCAGAGGTTAATGAATGGTTGGTAGGAATGTTGTTCCGGGTACAGTTTTGGTCCTGGAGTAGGGGTGAGCGATATGACCAAAATCACGATACAATGAATTTTATTTCACGGCAACGATATATATCATGATATAGTTATTTTTGCTTTAAATAAGGCTTTTTTTGATACCACAGAAATTTCATAATTCTTGTCACCATGTCAGTATCACAAAAAATTAATACTAGCCTAAATAAAATAAAAAAAACTCACTGAAGACAAGTAAACAGTCAGCGATTAAATAATAAAAAACTAATTACAAGCAAGAGGACAAAAAAAAAAAACTACAGTAGAACAAATAAATAAGAAATGCTACATACATTGTATAAAGTAATTAAATGTATAAAAACACTGCATATTCTTCACTGTAAATTAAATATATTTCTTCTTAAAGTTACAAAAGTTATTTAGTCAAGAACAGTGAGAGATATTCTCTCTTTTGTTGTTTGATTGACATGAATGTCAGACAGCAGGAATATTAAACTGCTGTCACTTTAGGAGCTGCCTGGATCCAGTATACTGTTACACGTTTTCTTTCTCAGCTGTTTGCTTTCACTTAAGACTTAAATTACTGTGTTTAAGAGGATGCTTGCATAGACGGGCATTGTGACACATACAAGTGTGTGTGTTTAACCATTCAAGGCCTATAAAGAGGCAAAAATAACTCCAATACTCTCGAACTCTGAGCACCGTCTTCAGGTGCATGCGCCTGTTTTTGCTCTCAGACAGCACGCGCATATGGCGAAATGAGTTCTCTTTCGCTGCTGATTGCATTTCAACGGCTTAAAATCACTTGTTTTTAAACTGTAATGGTTAAAACACGTGCAAACTGCAAGTTTTCGGATTGGATACCCTTGCCCTAACAAAATATTAACCCTACTGCAGGGTTGCCAGGTTTTCGCAACAAAACCCACCCAATTGCTACCCAAAACTAGCCCAATCGTGTTTCGAGGGGGGTCCCCTGGTAAAAATTGCCTTCCGGGGGATAAAAATACATGTATTTGGTGGGGTTCCCCTGGTACAATTCGCATTCCAGGGGCTAAATATCACATTATTAGGGTCACTTCAACCCACGGACATGAAAAACAATCCGTGGCAACAGTGTTAAAGTAGTCCGTGGACTTGGCAACACTGCCCTACTGTAAAATCAGAAGGATACCCTTGACGTAACCCAGGGGTGTCCAATCCTGTTCCTGAAGGAGGCCCCTTCCAGCAGAATTTAGCTGTAGCCCTAATCAAACACACCTGAACAAGCTAATCAAGGTTTTCAGGATCACTAGAAACTTCCAGGCACGTGTGATGGAGCTAAACCCTGCAGGAAAGTGGCCCCCAGGAGATTGGACACCCTTGCCCTAACCCAGAGGTGTCCAAACCACACCTGCCTGGAAGTTTCTAGTATGCCTAGTAAGAGCTTGATTAGCTAAACTCTGCAGGACAGTGGCCCTCCAGTTTTAACTAGTGACACGAACCGTGTCCATAGTGTCATTGTGTCACCTGCCAATGACGTCATAACCCATCGATTTCCGGTTTTGTAGAAAACATGGAAACACCAAAGACGCTTTAATATGTTGTGCGTTTTAATAGACCGGTGACGACCGCACAGAGTAGCATTATAACAGAACTTTCAAATGTATCTAGTATGATAAAACAGCGCTGCTTTTTTCCCCCACATAAGAACGACCGGAAGGAGCGGAAGCGGTCGACTGTGGCATAATAAACGCTCCGCTGCTTTCGAGCCGTGTGTCACGCTTGTTCAGCGGCCTCGTTTCGCTTCGACGGCTTTCAGCCTCACCCTGCTTCATTCTACTACGTTAATAAATCATTAGCTCATCCATGAACATGATTTCTGCCCGAGTCCCGTCGGATTGCATCGGCTGTGGAGATGATGACAACACCCATGATTCCACACTCAGTCACAGCGTCTTCAAACTACGCCTTTGTCTATTTGTTTATTTCGAATACATGCCCTTTAGCGGCGAAAATTACATATTGTGCCTTTAACTGGTTGAGTACCACTGGATTAGAGGATAGACGTTACAGCAAGTGTTAGTAGGAGCATGCCTCACCCTGCAGGTGGTAATGGTTAATGGGGGAAGAGGGTGAAGAAGAGATGAAGGATGTGATGAAGGAGGTAGAGGATGAGAGAGGCCAGAGCCCTTTGGTAAAGAAGTGTTTAGACAGCCCAAGCCGTAGCAGAACAGAAGATGGAACAAGGGAAGACTGATGTCCTGGCCAACCTGAATCTTGAGATCCTGAGGAAGACGGAAGAAGACTTAGACTGCACCGGCTCATGGGAGGGCACTCAGTCTTGGAGGTGTCCTCTTTTCTCGGCTCTGTGTGCGAGTGGAGTTCATCTTCCGTTAAATTCTTGGTCTGGCTGGGACCAAGTACCATACTAAGCTCAATCTGGTCTGGGGTTTCAGATGGACTCAAACAAACAGCTGTAACCGGTTGTACAATGCTGTTGGGCAAGTGAACTGCTCCAGGATTTGAAGAGGGAGTTGTTGGAGTTCTACTTGAGGACTCCTTTTCCTTTTGTTCAGGTTTGGGGGTCTTGCTGCATGGCGAGAGGGAAGATAACAAGGGTTTATCTGGAAGAGGATTAGGAATGTCTATATGGAGCAGTGGTCGAGCACTGCCAGTCAGTTTGACCTGGAGACCTTTAGAGGAAGAGTTTCCAGTTGAGCCAGCACTCAGCGTGGGTATGACTGCTGCATGGGGCATGGAGGGGCCTGGAAATGGGGATGCCGAAGTATTAGGGGATGAAACCTGGGCAACAGGAGTGGTGGGCTTGCTTTGGGAGGTGCTCCGAGGGTTGGAAGTGTCCGAACTTGAGCCCCGGCGTAGGTCTGAAGATCCTGTGTCTTCTAGCTCTACCACATTCAAGTTGTCACCCATGGAAACAGAGCGGGACATCTTGGCCATAGAGCTAGTGGTAGGACTCATGTAGGAACGGGATTTGGATTTGGTAGGTGTGGTGATGTCCTTTGGCAGGGCAGTCGTGGGGCTGATGAGCGGGACGGTAGGAAGGGAACGCCGTGGTCTTTGCGTCTGTTGGTGGTCTGGAGTCTGCGACTGTGGATGGACTTCCTTAAAAGGACGACTGGATATCTGGACCGCGTCAGCTGATCAGAAGAGGGAGGAAACAAGTGATTAATGTGAGTAAAGAAGACGAGCCCCATGGAGTAACTAATGCAAAACAATATCCTAAACCCTATGTGAAATACTCCATATCACCATATTGAGTAGCACCAGTTCATGGATGATTTACCCTCTGAGGAGATGTTGTGGATAGACTGAGCTTTCCTCATGCCTGCAGAACTGTTGTGACTTGCGGCAGCTTTAGCGACAGGGCTGATCAGTCTGCGTACAACTCCACTGGTGGTTTTAATGTCACTGCTTTTGTTTGAGGGGAACGGGAATGGAGTTCTGGTAAAGAAGGGGCAGAGCATGGTCATGTTTGCCCTTCAGAAGTCCAAATATCATTGAAAATAGATGTCACGATTGGAAGGGATTTGGTCAAAGTGTGAATGTTTCTTACCTGCTAGGAGAGTTCTGAGAGAGAAACTTCGATGACATGCTGTCAGAGATATTTGGAGTTACTCTGGTTGGAATTGCTGCCAAAGAAAAAGAGTATGAGACCTCCTTCTAACATTAAAGAAAAATTTTTTAAGCAAATTGTGAACATGTACAGTACAAACACCCTACCAGTGTTGTTGAGGTCTGACAGGTTTGCAAAGTGCCTCTTGAGAAACGCCTCCTGGTCTGGGGTCTGAGGTACAGGAGTCTGAACCGCATTCTTCCTCAGGCTGTCCTCCTCTTCCTCATCAAGATCTTCCATATCCAGTTCTGATGAGTTTCCATCTACACTCAATGGCTCAGTCGGCTCAGAGTCTACAGCGAACACACGGAAATATACATTCCTTTATCTCATCAAGGACCCATTGCAATTACTGAAATGATCATGCAAGTCTACTAGTTTAGTTTTTAAATACCTTCTCCAGGGCGTTCAGGGCTTGAAAGACGACTGCTGGAATACTCCATAGAGCAGGCGCTGTCTGGACTCTGCTTCTCAGGACAAGAGTTCACTTTAGCACATCTCACTCCATGAGGCAGCTTTTTCACTTGATACTCACTACGCACAAACAAAGAGAAGGGAGCGGACAGGTATTTGAGGATCATCTCAAAACAGTGTTTTGCATCATATTATGAATTCTAACTACACAATTAAAGAGATACTCCACCCAAAAACGAAATTTCTGTCTTAATTTACTCACTGTAATATCATTCCAAACCTGTATGACTTATTTTCTTAAACATTAAAGAAGATACTTTGAGAAATGTCTCACAACTGTACCTAACTTTCTTTAAAGTAACTTTGTGCTCCACAGAAGAAAGAAACTCATACAGGTTTGGAACCACGTGTGGGTGAGTAAATGATGACTGAATTTCTGTTTTTGGGTGGAGTATCCCTTTAAAGATAGTTTGTGTGAAATGATCAGAAATGTTAGGTTGTCAGAATTATTCAATGTATATTGAAAATGTACACCTATAGTGTAAATAAAATAAGCTACGAAGATTGTTTTTACTGACCTTCCAGCAAGACTGATTTGGTCTTCACATCCCTCAGGATACAGCACTTCTGTCTCTGGGGTTTGAGGCAACAGTTTGATGTAATGAGGACGTGCTTGTCCTCCTGGTTCATTCTCTTCAGGTGCCTACAGAGAAGATACACAAGTCAAAAAGAGACAGAACAAACAAAGCAGTCTGCATTCATGAGCACAAATACAAGGCAATAATTTCAAGAGCTTTATTCATTCTCATTTAATTCAATTTTTTCTGCATTATATCCAAGGCTTGTTATCTAAGACACTGCAGTATTATTCTAATGAGTTTCAACTTTGTTGCATGCTGGTTTATTATTTTTGCATCATACATTTTGAATTTTATCCAAAAAATTAACTGGTTCATCGGTTTAAGCTGCAAAGTGGAACAGATTCATGCTGGTACAGTGAAAAGTTTAGCTCCATGAAACTATATTTGTCATTGTATCACATTAGATATTAAAGTTAGAAGTGTACGTATATGTTTTATTTTCATATAAAGTTTACCCATGCGGCAATAGTCTGCAGACTGATGGTGCTGCCTAGTTCTTGGTTCCTAGGCGGTGGAAGATCTTTATGAACGTCTTGGGTTTTGCTGGGGAAGAGAGGCATGGCGAACGACTCCAGCTGCCTCAGGTCCAGCATGGACTTCACCTTCAGATCCATACTACCCATTCGCCTGGACCAGCGCCGTCTTGGTCGTGGACCTGAACCCTCATGTTCACAACTGTTGGACTGCTGATAAGAGAGAGAACGCACGTTAAAGAGCATCAACAAAATGAGAGAATCAAAGCTAAAATTATGCAAACTTGTCACAGACTTTCTTACCTTCTTCATGTGGGAATTGAGTGTGTTGTGGTTTTCTTCAGATGATCCTTGCAACAGAAACAAACACTAATATTAGAAGCTCACAAAGCTTAAAATAAACATTTGGAAGAAGTCTCGCCCACTAAAATCACACAACGTGACCCAACCCAACCCAGAAGAGCCGGATGCAGTATATATAACTAGCCAAACCAGTTTACTAAGACTGCTGGAGAGTGTCGGATACATTACCTGTCTCCTCGCCACCACTGCTGCCCGATGACAGGTGAGGGAACATCTCATCTTCCTCTTCAATGCCCTCCTCTTCCTCCATGTCTTTGTCGCTGTCGGACGACATGGTGCCAATGACCGGGGCACTGTGGTTTTCTTTCCTTGTGCTGATACAAACCAGAAAACACTATAAAATCACCATTTTGAGTTGTGTAATTGCAAAAGCAACACATTAGACTGACTGGCTTTATACCCAAGTGTGTGTTGTTTATTTGGAGGGGTCTTCTGAACAGGTTTGCTGTTCTGTTTCAGGTCCGAAAGCCGTTGTCTCATATTGATGGTCAACTCAGGACAAAGCCTCCACACAAAGATACAGCTGAACACACAACAGCAGGCAAATTTAACATTGTAATATGGTGAGCGTGAGTCAAAAATGGATTCTTCATCTGAGAAATTGATGATTTCAGAATATCTACCTGTCTCCCGACACAGATATCAGATGTTTACAGTCATTAGTAAACTTCATTCCTGTTACAATCTCTAAAAGAGGACAACAACACAATGCTTAGACTTCATTTTAGCAGATAAAATTATTCTTAAAAGTGTTTCTTGAAAATACAGCATTATTGTTGCATAATCTCACACACAGAGTTCATCTTACCAGAATGGCCAAACATGGTGGCCACACATTCTCCAGTGTATAAGTCAAAGATGCTGATGTTTTTGTCCGAGCAGCTTGTGGCCACATAGAGACCAGAGGGATCCGTCTGAACCTGATAAACACATTCAGACATATCAATAACCATATGACTGAGATCAAAAGCAGTATCTGAATTAATTTTATAACTAATCTTTTCATTCAAGGTCTGCCTACCTTGATAAGGGTCCCGTCCTCCCCTTGGGAGCCCTTGTAGACTTTCTTCTGTTTGCCATTGCAGATGTTAAAAATCCTGCAAATAAAAAAGTAGCAGAAACCTTTTTTTATATTGAAGCAATTACAACATTGATAATAATAAGTCATGTTTCTTAAGCAGCAAATCAGCATATTAAAATGATTTGTGGGATCATGTGACACTGAAGCACGGAGTTATGATGGTGAAAATTCAGCTTTCCCATGACAGGAATAAATACAATTTTAAAATATATGAAGATAAAAAAAAAAAAAAAGAGTAACTTTAAATGTTATAATATTTTACTGTATTTTTATTAAATAAATGCAGCCTTGGTGTGCATAACAAACTTATTTCAGAGACATTTCAAAATCTTACCAAACCAAAACTTTAAATAATAATAATACATTTTTGTATTATTATACATAATGACTGGTTTGTTTCAGAAAACCTTGGCTAACATTACAAGTGGCCTGGAGAAAAAAAAATCTAAAAGTGTATAATTTCACCATTTAAATCTTCCTTTTTGATTTGGCAAATGTGCTGCAGAATTATGTACTGTATTTTACCCCCTTCTTTTTTCAGCCACCTGGAGGTGCTATGCCTTCGTGCCTTCAACTGCCATTCCTTACAGCAGATCAAACAAATGCACTGCCAGCTTTGGGAGGAGCAGAACCAATGAACCCCTCAGGCTTCACATGACTTACACGAGGAACAAAAAGAGTCTGTGCCCATTAGAGGCATTGAAAACCCAGAATGAGCTCCAGTACTGAGGCCTACAGCACTGACTATTGACTCTATTGATATATTTGTATAGGTCAGGCCTTCTTATTTTAAGATCATTCATTGCCGCTGCACCAAACGGCATCGAAAAGACGCTCCTTTCAGTGAAAATGAGACAAAGGCAGTAAATGGCTGGCTGTATTATACACGACATTCCTGGCATTTTTCTTGCCCACAGTGCAGAATAAATTTGCAGTCATAGTTTGAATGAACAAAAGGAAAACAGTTGCAAGTCATGCGCTGTGCTGCTTCCTTCCTAATGTTGCCCTTTTGTATGGGACAGCACAGTGAGACTTACAAAGCACAATGAGGAAAAGAGTGCCAATATTGAAGAATAAAGAGCAAAACTTGAAAATTGTCAAATCAGCAGGAGGGCGAATCTCCAGGTCATTAAAGAAAATAAAAAATATATATAATAATAATAAATAAAAATATTTCTTTCTTTAAAAATTACTTACCATAACTACAATGTACAAAAAATAAAATGTATATTATTTCTCAAATGTATATTTAATATAATACAAAATTTATACACTATAGCAAAATTTGTTGTACAGATATCAGTTTTTGATGATTATAAAATACTGTAATATAGTAATACAATATAGTAAAACAAAATTACACACACACACACACAAACTCAAACTTGGGGAAATTTGGGGGGAAATGTTTAATTACCATGAAAATAATGTCATACAAAAAAAGGGCGAAATATAATTTTAGATTTTTTTTTCACATTTTTGTGACATTCACCAAGTAAAACAATCACATGATGAGACAATCAGATTGTGTCTAATGATTTTAGTGGGTCAGGTGTCTCAGACAGTACAGACAGGCTGACTCAGTGTGTGTGTGTGTGTGTGTGCGTGTGTGTGCACACATGGTCTACAACATGCTAAATGTGACTGGATTAACCAGTCAAGCCTCTAATGCCATCCTACTGTACAAACACCTGAGTGATAATCTGCTAACGCTGCTAGCACGGCTACAGATGACTGTAACACCTGTCAGATGAGGTCCAGAAATATATAGGTCTATACAGTCATAACCACATAAATGAGTCAAGATACTGTGAAATTATTAAATTACAGAAATTAAAACACCTTGATGTAAATATAGATACAAAAACGCGTGTTCACAATGATACAAACACATTAGCAAAACAACACAGGCTCAACTAGGAGATGCACAAAGGACAGGATAATAATAAAACAACTACTACTACTTTTACTACAATTAATAACAACATTGCAAAAAAAATAAATAATAAAACAAACCTGATGCTGCGATCCTGACATCCAATAACAGCGTATTTCCTTGTGGGGTCGATGTCCATGTCATACAGAGTAGTCTTCCTCACTATGTGATGAGTGCGTGTGAACGCTGTTCCCTCCTCTGTCTGTTTTGGCATGTTTAATGATTAGTTCAGTGCAAAGAATAACCAATATAAACACTACTTTAAAAAAAATGTTTTTCTTAAAAAAAACAAAAAAACTATTCGTAATAACATTTCTGTGTTCATTATTCTTTTTGGATGTTTTCTCCAAAACGAGAATGGAAATGATCTTTAAGCATGATATTTAACAAGCGGTCTTTTAATGATCCCTGGTCCTGGGTCACATTTTGAGGTCAGAATTAAACTGATTTAAGTTCTGCAGGTGATTTTAAGTGGCCTATATTACAGTTGCACATCTGATCACTTGTCCACTCCATTAGTTTATTCCAAAGCAATTGTCCACCTTAATCTGGTTTTATGTTTGGATTGAAGGTTTTGAGAAGCAGATTACAGAGTAAGAAAAGAGTATAATAGGAAAATACAGAATTTTAATACCACCATATCCATGGATAATGTTTATATTACATAACTATTCGTCTCATACATTTTTAATATTCATGGCGGTTCTAACTGGAAAATATTTAATTCTATTAATTGTTTTGTGAATTCATCTCAGTAGCTTATAATTCATTCAGAAACCTACTGAGACTCTTCAAAGTTAATATCTCAGAATTCATTTAGGATGTCAGAAGTGCTTGTTTGTGTCTCGCACTTAATCACTGGCCGTTGGTATCTCATTTGCAAAGGGGTGTTAAGTGCTTGTGTGTCTATTTAAATCAGGTGTTCTTTGAAGCTCTGGCAACAGTTTCTCTAGGCCTGAGGAATCTGACAGCTCCGAGGCAGGACTCAATGAAAGAAATGCCACTCTTTCAATTTTAAAGATGTCCAGTGAAAACATCATAGATTATGGTAAATAATAAACACCTAAATGTGACAAAAAGTGATCTCACCTTCTGTGCCGTGCGGAAGTAGATGCTCTTATCGGCACCGCAACTGATCATCCTGACTTTCCCATCGTTAGCTGGAACAAAAACAAAGACGTCACACATGAACATTTCCAGCATTTGTTGTTAAATAAAACTGGGCAAGGCTGTCAAGATCTCACTAGCGAATCGGACAGCAGTGATAGAGGAAGAGTGTTCATCCAGTGTTTGCAGGAGGCCGTATTCCCGATCCGCATCCAGAACATGGATCAGTCTGTCTCTGCTGGCGGTGGCCAACAGTTTCAGCCCTAAACACACACATATTTAATACGTTAACACCAAAATATTAAGCAGCACAACCATTTTTAACATAATAATAAAAAATATTTCTTGAGCAGCAAATCAGCATATTAGAATAATTTCTGAAGTATCATGTGACACTGAATACTGGAGTAATTATGCTGAAAATTCAGCTTTGCAGCAAAGGTATAAATTACATTTTTAAAATATATTAAAATAGAAAACATTTATTTTAAATTGTAATAATATTTCAGAATATTACTGTTCTGTTATTTTGATCAAATAATTACAGCCTTGCTGAACCTAAGAGACTTTTTTTTTCTTTTTTTTTTTAAATACATTAAAAATATACTGACTCCATTCTACATCAACTTTTGAATGGCAGTGTAACATGAATACAGTGTTCATGTAATACCATAAGGGACCACAAAACCAGTCATAAGGATCCATTTTTTGAAATTGAGATTTATACACCATCTGAAATCTGGATAAATAATCTTTCCATTGATATATGTTTGTTAGGGTAGGACAATATTTGGCTGAGATACAACTATTTGAAAATCTGGAATCTGAGGGTGCAAAAAAATCGAAATAGTGAGAAAATCGCCTTTAAAGTTGTTCAAATACAAAAAACAAAAACGAACAAATACAAAAAAAAAACAAATACAAAGTTCTTAGCAATGCATATTACAAATTAAAATTAAGTTTTGATATATTTACAGTAGGAAATTTACAAAATATCTTCATGGAACATGATCTTTACTTAATATCCTAATGATTTTTGGCATAAAAGAAAAATCGATAATTTTGACCCATACAAATTGCTACAAATATACCCGTGCGACTTAAGGCCATGTTCACACTTGCCGTCTTTTTTGACAAGAAAAAGCTGACAAGGGCGTTTTTTTAGTGAAAAAAAACAAAAAAAAGCTGGCAGCGTTTCTGTTACAAATAGCAGCCGAGGGCGTCTTTTGTTGCTATTGCAACAGTAGCCTAGCGCTATGTGGTGCAAAAATGTCGAGAAAGAGGAAATTGGCTCTTGCGTTGGCTTTTGAAGTTAACGGGGAAGAGAATGTCGGTTTACAACGATGTTTGTGGGTGCACGGCATTATACGGGGAAGGAACCAGTATGGTGCTTACAACAATTTAGTCCAGGAGCTCTGGTTGGATGATGCACGGTTTGCGGCATATTTTAGACTAAACATTAAAACGTTATTATTATACTAAATATTTTGTGCTCATATCATATTGTGCTCCGAAACTAGTACGATCAGTTTATCTACCGGCACCTTCTCCATTTTTTCTTGTTCTTGTTGTTATGAAAACGATAGGTCTCGCTACTCGCTTGGTATTGGTCAGCTGTCAAAAAGGCGCTTGACGTAACTTTTTTCAACTTGAAAAGATGCTCTGAGCTGCAGAAAAAGACGCCGATGGTGGCGTTTAAAAAAGCGTTCAGGACTTTTTTGAAAACACGGTTTACTCCATAGGATTATAATGTAAAACAGACGCTGCCAGCTTCAAAAAAGACGCCAAGTGTGAACGCCCTAAGACTGGTTTTGTGGTCCAAGGTCACACATGTCATTGTATTATCATCTGATACCATTACCAGTACCCCCCTAAGTAGATTTCTGTAAGGATACACCAGCCAAACTGCATTTCTGAAATAGTGTTTAAAAGTTCAATATCCAGTGAGCTGTGTTGAGAGTGGCTTCTGGTTTTGTTCACACTTTTCACCCCACAAGCTGATTCACTAACACGCTGTGTTCATGTGTGACTCACACAGTCAAGAAAAAGATGCAAATGCCTCTTAAAGTGCGAGAACAGAACAGGAGATGTTTTTGCAACAATAAGCAGAAGAAATGAGCCAGATCATGTTGAAATGAGCGTTCATCTCTATCAACAGATTCACGTGTGAAAGCTCTTAATATTCTTACGGCTGCAGAGCAGACACACAAATGATAATGTGATGTTCTTCACTGCAAAAACTAATCAAAATGCAGCTCGTGAGAATTACAGATCCTCACAGGCCATTTAGAATGAAGCAATTGTTTTCTGAAGTGCATGTTGAAACCAAACGAGCAAATCTATCTGATGGACAGCTACTGTATCTGGAATGCAGACTGGGCAGTTTATAAGTATGCTAGTACCTTTTGAATTTACCCTTTTTACATCCATTCCACATAACTCAGTGCAGAAAATGTCTAAATACTGTGCAGGTTATGAGATTATAAGCCATTTTTGGCCTGTTATAGTGGATGGGATCAATGGTCTATTAAACTGAGAGAACCCTATCACAGTGTCATGAAAGAGCAGGAGAAGAAAGCAATCAAGAAGACGAGATTGTGTACCTCTATGTGTGTTCTAGCAGATGTTCTGTTTCTCATCGAGCTGTGCTTAAAGGGTTAGTTCACCCAAAAATGAAAACTAATGAAAAAATTAGACTGTGTTTTACTCACCCTCGAGGCATCCTAGGTGTATATGACTTTTTTCTTTCAGACGAATCCAGTCGGAGTTATATTAAAGGGGTCATATGATGCGATTTCAAGTTTTCCTTTCTCTTTGGAGTGTTACAAGCTGATTGTGCATAGATATATTCCCATACAGTTCCTTGAGTGCCTGGTCTGTGTTGGCTTGAGGGGGAATGTAAACAGCTGTGATTATGATCGCTGTAAATTCCCTTGGTAGCCAGAATGGTCGACACAGAAGCATATGAAATTCCAGATCAGGGGAGCAGAAGGATTTAATAGAGTGTAGGTTCCTCTCATCACACCACGAGCGGTTGATAAAGAAACAAACGCCCCCACCTCTGCTTTTCCCTGTGAGCTCTTTTGTTCTGTCCGAGCGGTGCACGGAGAACCCCGTAAGCTCGATGGCTGAGTCTGGAACCTCTGCAGACATCCAGGTTTCTGTGAGGCAAATAATGCAGCAGTCCCTTGTTTCTCGTTGGTATGAGATGCGTGCCCGCAGTTCACAGAGTTTGTTGTCCAGTGACTGAACGTTAGCCAGCAAAATGGTTGGGAGAGGAGGTCGGAGGGGATGACGTCTGAGTCTGACAAGCACGCCGGCTCTCTTCCCCCTTTTCTGGCGGCGTTTCCTCGGTCGCGACCGTGCGGCCCAGACAAAGGGCTCTGATGCGGTGTCTGTAAACAGCCGGCCGGCGTTCAAGAACTCAAAGTCCGGTTTGCGTTGCGCGACGTAGGAGCCAATGTTTAAAAGCGTGTGTCTATCGTAGACAGTTATACTAACAACATCCAACACGTAGAACAACAAAATAACAAGTAAAACAAACGAAAAACTGCAGAGTTTTCTCGGAGCTCGCAACACGGCTGCCATGCTCGGCGCCATCTTGAACACTATCATCATCATAAGTATTTGCTATTGACTGTTCAAATGCGGAGTTTTGCGCATCGTGTGTGTGTGTGTGTGCGCGCGCGTGTTTGAGAGAGAGAGAGAGAGATAGGGCCACATCACAGTGGAGTCAGCTGTCTTAACCGTGGCTTGTGTACTGCAAACACATACCAGCTTCATCACTGTGTCTG